ATAGTATCATCCTGATATTTAATTGTACTGATCTATATTTTCTATACTGACATTATCAACTAATAAAAAAAAAAAAATAAATAAATAAATGAACAAGCTTGTATAAAATTTTTATTTGATAGAGGTATTTTGTATAAACAAACAAATTGTTCAGAATGTAATGCTAAATTATCTTTAGACAAGAAAGGAAAACGATATAGATGTATTAAAAAAAAATGTAGAAAATCTGTATCAATATTTAAAGATAGTTTTTTTGCAAAAAGTCATCTTAAATGTAACGATGTTATGATGATCGCTTATTGTTGGTTATCCAAATCTTCAAATAATTTATTAAAAACGATTAGTGGTTCATCGTCAACTACTATTAGTAATTATACAAAATATTTGAGAGAATTAGTAATTGATACTTTAAATGATGAACCAGTGAAAATAGGTGGCAAAGGAATAATCGTGGAAATAGACGAATCAAAATTTGCAAGAAGAAAATATCATAGAGGTAGAAGAGTTGATAGTGTATGGGTGATTGGTGGAATAGAAAGGACCGAAGAAAAAAGAGTATTTTTAATAATTGTAGAAAAACGAGATAAAGAAACTATAAGAGAGATTATAGAAAAATATGTTGAAAAAGGTTCGATCATACATACCGATTGTTGGAAAGGTTATATAGGTATCGAAGATTTAGGCATTATACATGGAACTGTTAATCATTCTATTTATTTCACGGATCCAAGACCGGAGTTCATACAAATACTATCGAAGGTTTGTGGAACGGTATTAAGTTACAGATCGCACCACGTAACCGAAACAAAAATCTAATCAAAAATCATTTGTTAGAATTTATTTGGCGCAGGATAAACAAAGATAAACTTTGGGAAGCATTTATTTACGCGTTACGTTCCACTGCTTATTACGATAATAAATAATTTGTATATCTATTTAATTTTATCACATAATGTGACTATTCGATGCAATAGTACCCGCTCTTCTAAACTTCATCCTAATCAACTATTAAAAAAAAACTAAAGGAAGAGTATTATTTTACTTATAATTTATATATTATAATTTTCATAGAAACAAAAATATTAGTTTAACATATTATACTTTAATTTTTTAATACAAAAAACTTTATCTACTTTTAAGCTAACTCTAAGATCTCTACAGAGAGTATTTGTATTATGATTAATAATTTTATCAAGCTATATATCTATAATATTTATATATATATCTAGAAAAAGCTATTGCTATTAATTTCTTTTTTAAAAATAATTTCAAATTTTATATAATATCTGTTTATTTATCAAGTACAAATTTAGTAACTAGATAAGCAACATAAAACAAAGTTATTTACTAAATTCAAAAAGCTTTATCTACTAATCTACTTCCTATTATTATAGGAAATTTTAATTCAAATATAGAATATCAAATTTCTTATTCTGCTAAAACCAAACTACTTTTTTATTTACAAAGCCAAAATATATATGATTTGCTAATTATATATCAACTAACTAATATACTTGGCAAAGTAGTCACTTTAGTAGTTAAATAGACTACATATAGATATACTATTCTACTATTCTATATTTTCTAAACTTTATACTTATAGACTCAAAACTATATCAAATAGTAATCATCAAATTTTTATATCATTTTTGTTCTTTTCTTTCACTCTTCAAAACAAAACCAAATACAAAACTAATATTCAATACAGAATATTTAACTACAAGTCTATAAATTTGGAATTATAGAAAGACTTTATAATTTAGTTTTATCTAACTTTAATACAAACAAAATATCTATAAATTCAATTTAAACAGAATTACTGAAAAAAAGCTAGCACAAAATACAAACTAGTATTTCAAAAACTACTCTTACAAATATTTCTAACAAAAGATTTAAAGCTTCTAACTTCTAATATCAATATTTATCTAAAGCTACTAGCTTATACTAAGATCTCAAAGCTTTAAGAAATTTAATTCAAACTATTAAAAATATTACTACTAACAACTTACTTATATTACAACACATATTTATAACAATTTAATATCTTAACTCTAAATATAAGTTTAATATCTTACAACTTTTTCTTTTTTTAAAACAACTCACTAACTAGGTTAATATTACTAAACAATACTAGAAAACTCTCTTTTATATTCATAATCTTGATAATAACAAAATAATTTATAAACAAATTTACAAGGCTTTGAACAGACACTATAAAAATATAGAAAAAAATCTAACTAAAATAATTAATAGCATACTTAATAGATATAAAAATCTAGTTAAAATTAATAATATCAAAACTAATAATAATCTTATTACAGAACTAAACTCTATTAAATAAACTATTCAAAATTATTTCTTTAATTAAACTATTCTTTGACCAATTAATCTGAATATTTTAATAATGCTAGATTATAGAATATATACCTAAATCTAATATCTAAGCAAACTAGTATTTAGATACTCTTTAACTAATATCAACTAAAGAAGTTTATTAAAAAATTTGTCAGCTTCTAAATAGCAAAGCTAGTGAATTATCTAGAATTAGCTATGAAATATTTAAATATGTAGATACTTTATTTCTACAACTTATTACTGAACTCCTAAACTAATATTTATTACAATAGCAAATTTCTAAACAATAGAAAAATAGCTGTATTTTTCTAATATCTAAAAAACTATTATTTAATAGAAATCTTTCAAACACAAAACCAATTAGTCTAATTAAATATATTAAAAAATTTTATACTAAACTATTAACTAATTGACTTAACAAAACTTAAACAAAATATAATATACTATCATTTTTCAATTATATTGCATTATCAGATAATAGTACTAATATACCTATTAATATTCTAAACAATATTATAAAAGATACAATATGTAATAAAAAAGAATTATAGCTTTTATCTCAGGATATGAGCAAAGTATATAACTCAGTTAACTTTGACTTTTTCAAATAAGCTCTCCAAAGAATTCAATTTTCAGAATCTTTTATTAATATTTTAATTAACTTTCTTTTTAACTAAACAAATAAAGTTATTACTAACTTTAAACTTATAGACTCATATTAGATCTTAAATAGTATTAATTAAGGAGAAACAATAACTCTACTCTTCTAGTGAATTTATTATGATCTTTTTATAACAAAAATTGTCAAAAAAATAAAAAAATACTAAATATCTACAACATAGTCTAAAAATATATAACAAACTAAACCAAATAGAATTTATACTAATAGATCAGTCTTAGTATATATAGATAATATAATATAGATTGCAAAGTCTAAATTATAACTCAATAAAACAATTAATATTGCTATATCCTTTTTCTAAATAGCAAATATTTAAGTTAACTCTAACAAATCTATTCTGGTTTTTAATACTGTAGATCTTTATAGTATTTAATTTATTAACTCCTCTATTATACTAATTTTAATAAAAATACTATTCATATTTCTTGACTGCTAGTTTACTTTAAATAATAACCAAAAAGCTCAAATTAATTTAATATCTAAAGAAGCTTTTTCTCTTTCTGATATTTTAAATACAAAAAATATTACAAACAAACAAGCTACCTATATTATTAACAAAGTTATTATTCTAACTCTAGAATACTAAATACAAAATATTGTTATTCCTTTAGCAACATATCAAAAAATCTTATCAAAATACTTTATAGTTGCTAAATATAAAGCAAGTTATTTCAAAACACTCTCTAATAGTACTATGCTTAACTACAATATTTATAGTATCAAAAATATCTAGGATATCCAATTATAACACTATATAACTAACTTTTTATCATGTCTTAACAATTCTGATTTATTAGAATTATTTACTCAAATATAAGTCTAACAACTTCAAACAATTTATAGTCTACCATAAATCTACTTTAATATTCAAATCTACTAATTGATAAACTTAACAAATATACAACTACTTGCAAAATTATTAAACTTCTTAATCTATTAAATATAGTTATTACTGCTAATAATAACTATTAGTAGCCAAAAACCTATTAACACAATATATACCTATTAGAAAAAATATTTAATATACTTCTACTTTATTTAATATTCAAACAATAACTTTACAAAAATAATATTATCTACTTAGATTAATTTACAACTTCTGAAAATAATATTCTTCTTAAATAGCAATATATTTTTTTTTAAGTCTATTACTTGTCTAAAGAAAAACAGTCTTTATAATTCTCTTTTTTAGAAGAAATAATTACAAAAAATTTATATACTAGAGAAATTATAGAATTAATATCTCTAAACTCTTCTAACTCTTTTCTATTAAGTACAGTCTATTTTAAAGATAAAAAACTATAGATCTTATTAATTATAAACAATTAAATTATTCTAAAAAAGGCTCACAAACTTTTTTTAAACAACAACTCTATATTATTAACTCACTAGACTACTAGCTATAACTCAAGCTATATAGCCTATTATCTTAACTTACAAATTGACTATATTCTTTACTTAGATTGTAATCTGAACTCCAATTGTATTACAAACTGATATACTATTAATATATTAGCTACATATAATACTAAAGTCTAAACTAGATCTTATATAGGTAATAATTCTGCTAGACTAAAACTTAATACAAATATAGTAGATTTAATTTATAATCTAGCAATTAGATATCTATTAACTATTTTATCTCTTCTAAATATCAATTTAAAAAACAACTATACAACTAAAATATTTAAATCTAATAAAACCTCTAAACACTTTCTGACAATTATCAAAACCAAAACAACAAGACAACAAAAATTTTTTTCTTATGCTACTATCTAGTAAAACTACTTAAAGTGACTGACTACACGAGGAATAAACTATGAGGCTGCAATAAGCCAGTAGCAAAAACTGCAACAAATCAGTTTCAAGGTTGTACTAGGCTCTTTGGCCATCTGACTTTGGCAGAGTAACTTTAAATTAGTTTAGTAGAAAAGTGTCAACAGTGAAAAAAAGAAGTATAAGAAGAACTCTAACTATACTTGTACTAGGTCAAGCATATAACCACTCTCTCAGTTTTGTTTTTTTGAAGAACTGCTTCTTTTATTTACAACAACTAGACTTTTGGACTTGGAATTATTTCTTTTTGTTTCTCGACAGCAAAAGTAGGAATTTGGCTTACCCTTGCTAAAAGATCTATATTTGTACTATGTCTATTTTAGGAAAGTTACATTGTATGTTATTAAACAATAACAACTCACAAACATATATAGCTACATACTATTAGTTAATATCTGTTGATATTTTCATTAGAGAATTACATGAAGTCATGTTCTATTAAACAAGTAAAGAATAGACTTGATGGAATTAGTTAATATTACAGAGATATATATATGAGTAGCAACAGTATATATAATTTTTAATAGTAGTGCTTGCCTTTGAGCTTGCTTTTAGATAGAACTACTTTGAGTTTTTCTTTTCCTTTTTTCTTTTTATATTAAAAAGAAAATTTCTGTTCATTTTATTTTCTTTTTTGTTTATTTTTGCCTACACTTAGATAGCAAGCTTTTTACTTGTTAGCAAGTTTTTCTTACTATTCTAGCTTAAGTTCTTATAGTATGTAGCTTTTTTGCTTTTTGTTATTTATAACAATTTTATTTTTTCTATTATAGGACTAGATATTAACAACTTTTAGTTTAGTCTTAGATTAGACTAGAAGAGATCTAGGATCTTGATGTGAGCTGGAAGTTGTCTTTTTTGATTATTAGTAACCTATGCTACTTTG